GAGAAGTTGCAACTGATATCACAGAAATACAAAGAACTATAAGAGACTACCACAAACAATTATATGCCAACAAACTGGAAAACAGAAGAAATGGACAAATTCCTAGAAACACACAATCTTCCAAGACTGAATCATGAAAAAATAGAAAATCTAAATAGATCAATTACAAGTAATGAAACTGAATCAGTAATTTTAAAGCTCCCAAAAAACAAAAGTCCAGGACCAGAGAGCTTCACAGATGAATTTTACTAAACATTTAAAGAAGAGTTAGTCCCTATCCTTCTCAAATTATTCCAAAAAACTGAAAAGGAGGGGCGCCTGGGTGGCTCAGTCGGTTAAGTGTCTGCCTTCGGCTCAGGTCATGATCCCAGGGTCCTGGGATTGGGCCCCACATCCGGCTCCTTGCTACACAGGGAGCCTGCTTCTCCCTCTCCCTCTGCCGCTCCCCCTGCTCGTGCTCTCTCTCTGTGTAATAAATAAATAAAATCTTAAAAAAAAACAAAAAACTGAAGAAGAAGTAACAATTCCAAACTCATTTTATGAGGCCAGCATTACCCTGATACTAAAATCAGACAAAGACACCACAAAAGAAAGAAAATTTTGAGCCAATATCCTTGATGAACATAGATGCAAAGATCCTCAAAAAATATTAGCAAATCAAATTCAACACTACATTAAAAGGATCATACACCATGATCAAGTGGGATTTATTCCAGGGATGCAAGGATGGTACACCATCTGCAAATCAATCAATGTGAGGGCGCCTGGGTGGCTCAGTCATTAAGCATCTGCCTTCAGCTCAGGTCATGGTCCCAGGGTCCTGGAATGGAGCCCTGAATCGGTCTCCCTGCTCAGCGGGGAGCCTGCTTCTCCCTCTCCCACTCCCCCTGCTTGTGTTCCCTCTCTCGCTGTGTCTCTTTCTGTCAAATAAATAAATAAAATCATTTAAAAAAAAATCAATGTGATACACATTAACAAAACAAAGGATAAAAATCATATGAACATCTAAATAGTTGCTGAAAAAGCACTTGACAAAAATCAACATCCATTTTTATCCTCCTGGCCACTAGACACCATAATAGCTAGCCTTTGTGGCCCAAGCATGGGCCTTTAGGCGTTTGTCTGAGCAGCCCTCCTTGGGGTCCTAGCCATGAGGCCAAGAACCCAGCTGGAAGTGGAAGCCTGGTATGTGGGTCCTGGAGGGAGATCATGCTGTGGGATTGTCCAGGCCTAAGGCAGGGGTGAGAGGGGTGGTTGGGGGGGGGCCTGCAGCAGGAGGGCCAAACTGTAGGTGGCCCTTGTCTCACTCCAGTGCTTGTCCTAGGTCATACCTTCAACACCCATTTATGATTAAAAACTCCCAACAAAGTGGTTATAGAAGGAATATATCTCAACATAATAAAAGCCACGTATGACATATCCACAGCTAACATCATGTTCAATGGTGAAAAGCTAAAAGCTTTTCCTCTAGGATGAGGAACAAGATAAGGATGCCCACTCTTGCTACTTTTATTCAACATAGTACTGGAACCCCTAGCTACAATAATCAGACAAGAAAAAGAAATAAAAGGCTTGATTCAAATTGGTAAGGAATAATTAAAACTGTCACTATTTGCAGATGACATGACACTACCTACAGAAAACCCTAAAGATCATCAAAAAAACTATTAGAACGAATAAATGCATTCAGTAAAGTTCCAGAATACAAAAGTAACATACAGAAATTGGTTGCATTTCTATATACTAATAATGAGCTATCAGAAAGAGAAATGAAGAAAACAATCTTATTTAAACTACATCAAAAAATAAAATAAAATACCTAGGGATAAATTTAACATAGTAGGTTAAAGACCTGCACTCTGAAAACTGTAAGAATATTTTATTGATGAAAGAAATTGAAGATAACAAAAATAAATTGACCGATATAATATGATCATGGACTGGAAGAATTAATATTGTCAAAATGTCTATACTACCCAAAGCAATCTTCAGATTCAATGCATTCCTCATCAAAATACCAATAGTATTTTTCACAGAACTAGAACAAATAATACTAAAATTTATATGGAACAACAAAAGACCCCAAATTGCCAAAGCGATCTTGAGAAAGAAAAACAATGCTGGACGTATTATGCTCCCTGATTTCAAATTACACTACAAAGCTATAGTTATCAAGACAGCATGGTACTGGCACAAAAACAGACACATAGATCAATGAAACAGAATAAAGAGCCCAGAAATAAACCCACATTTATATGGTCTATCTAGACAAAGGAGGCTAAATAAACAATGGGGAAAAGACAGTCTCTTCAATAAATGGTGCTGGGAAAACTGGAGAGCCATATGCAAAAGAATGAAACTGGGCCACTTTCTTATGCCATACACAAAATAAACTCAAAATGGATTAAAGACCTGAATGTAACACCTGAAACCATAAAACTCCTAACAGAAAATATAGGTAGTAAGCTCTTTGACATCACTCCTAGTAATATTTTTTTGGACCAGTATCCTTAGGCAAGGACAACAAAAGCTAGAACAAACAAATGGAATTACATCAAACTAAAAAGCTTTTGCACAGTGAAGGAAACCATCAATAAAATAAGAAGGCAACCTACTGAATGGGAGAAGTTATTTGCAAGCCATATATCCAGTAAAGGATTAATATTCAAAATATGTAAAGAACTTACACAATTTAATATCAAAAAATATCTGATTTAAAAATAGGCAGAAGACATGAAAAGACATTTCTCCAAAGAAGACATGCAGATGGCCAAGCGTCACATGAAAAGATGCTCAACATCACTAATCATCAGGTAAATGCAAATCAAAACCACAATGAGATATCACCTCACACCAGGCAGATTGGCCATTATCGAAAAGATAAGAAATAACAAGAGTTGGTAAGGATGTGGATAAAAGGGACCCTCATACACTGCTGATGGGAAAGTAAATTGGTGCAGCCACTATGAAAAAATGTATGGAAGTTCCTCAAAAAATTAAGAATAGAACTATCATATGATCCAGTCATTCCACATCTGAGTATTTATCTGAAGAAAACAAAACACCAATTTGAAGAGCTATATGCACCCCTGTGTTCACTGCAGCATTATTTACAATAGCCCCGATACGAAAGCAACTTAAGTTTCCATCAATAGACGAATGGATAACAAAGATGTGGTGCATATATGAAATATGACTTAGCCATAAAAAGACTAAAATCTTGCCATTTGTGACAACGTGGGTGGACCTGGAGGGCATTATGCTAAGTGAGGTAAGTCAGACAAAGACGAACACAATCTGATTTCACTTACATGTGTAATCTGAAAAACAGAACAACTGTTATATGTCAATGACATCTCATTAAAGCTGGAAAAAAACAAAGACCCATGAGTGGTACAGCTGGATTAAATCCTAGACTTCCGGTCCCAGAGCTGCACACTATAAAATAAACAAACCACATTTATTTATCCTTTTCTCTAGTGACATTTAGTTTGTTTGCAATTTCCCCTACCATGAACAAGTTTCAGCGAACATCATTGTGCCTATCTGCCTTTGCATGTGTGGAACAGTCCCTGAGGGTATATACATCAAGCGGAATAGCCATGGAATCCTTTTTTGTTTGTTTTTTTGAAAGTACAGAGAAGAGCAGATGTTATTTAAAATTTTCTTCTTCCCTTCAGAAAATTTTTTCCCCTGATAGAATATACGTTCTATGAAGGCAGGGATTTTTGTCTGTTTTGTTCACTGCTCTCTTCTAAGCAAATAGAAGAATGTCAAGCACATAAGAGATATTTGGTAAGTACCTGCTGACTATATGAATGGTTCTTGAATATTAGGCTCTGTTGCCTTAATTATGCAAACACTTTTTATACAGCCCCAAACTGTGTGAGGGGAATTTCTAGTTACTCATCTTTGTACATTGAGAATTTTACCCAAACCTTGGATTTACCCCCAAAAGGGACTGGAAGAGAGGAGTCTTCTTGGATTCCAGCACTTTTCTCTGATGTTATTCTCCTCAAGGACTTTAAACTCGGGGGTCAGGAACAAGTTCTACGACTCAACAGCCTGAAGAGAATGGGGTGGGGGCCACAGCTGTAAATGACTTGGGACAGTTTCCCCTGAGTCCTGGTGTGATTTGACCTTCGTGGTGCTGCCAAACACCATACCAGGGCTGAGCCTTGCCCTTGGAGAGATGCAGCTCAACCACTACCAGCCCCGTGGACACTTCCAAGCCACAGTGGCTAAGGAGACTCCCGTGAAGAGTTCCCAGTCTGTCCCACTGCTCACTCCTGCCCTTACCCTTTGTGCCTCTGAAGTAGGGCATATTGATGAGATCCCAAACCAGACTCTCAGATAGCCCTCAAGTCCAGTGGGGTCCCACTCCACTTCATCTAGAAGAACTTCCTTTCTCTTGCATGTGAATAGCTCCCTTCTGTAGAATCTAGCAGTGGTTTCCCCCAAGTTTCTATTGTTGGTCAATTCAACCATGCTCAGAAAAGGCATGAGGGGCGCCTGGGTGGCTCAGTCGGTTGAGCGACTGCCTTCGGCTCAGGTCATGATCCTGGAGTCCCGGGATCGAGTCCTGCATCGGGCTCCCCGCTCGGCAGGGAGCCTGCTTCTCCCTCTGACCCTCC